CCCCCAAAACCCCAAAACCCCAAAACCCCTTTAGTTATAAAATAATTGATTTATGTAAATCCAAACATATTTTTAAGCTCTTTCCTCTCTTTCTTTATGTTAGTCTCAAAATCTCCTATTCAGCAAAGACCATCTTGGAAAAAGATTAGAACTCTTTGGTCAGGAGTCAGATTGAGAGGTGTAACTGAGTTCTTGTCAAAGCAGAGTCTTGTCTCTTTACAGTCAAAATATGGCAATTTAAGGAATACTAGATGAAGTCAGAACAGCTAAACAATAGCTTACCTAGCTTTCCAGTCGTATTTCCGTAAATTAGTTTGTCATTGAAATTCTCGTCAGGAATCACCATTGGGTTTTCAATCATGGTTATGTCTTCATAGGTTGAGAGGTACTTCCCATTTATACTAAACGATGACATTCACTTTAGGTCTTCAGTCACTAGAAGTTAAGACATTGGCTTACATAAAATTATTGAAGCAAGCGGAGATTCTGAGATCAACACCTTTGAAAGGGGCAAGTTATCTGGCTGCTTGAAAGTCCGTAAAATATAACACTTTGAACCTTTTGCAGATGGATCTCTTGTAGCAGAGAGCACATAAAGATTGGCTGTGCCATCTTTTGAACATGTAGCAAAGACTCCCATATTTTCTCAAATTCAACAACCGGTGACTTCACTTTGGTGATGGAAGAAGTGAGAATCATACTTAAGTTCTCCTTGATTATTGTTCCATTTAGCAACATCTCCTTTTTCAGTCCCAGTGATGACTATCTCTTCGCTTTGGCTTGCCTGGATCATTGTTATTCTGTACAGATGCTTCTTTTTGCTTATTTCTTCTTTATTAGTGAAATTCTGGATGACCATCATTCCGTCCCAGTAGCCTCCAATAAGAAGTCTGAGTCCATTCTTGACCAAAATGGTTGAGACAGGGACACTATAGTTACCAAATTGAGTTCTTACCTGCTACTATGAGATGAGAATTCTGAGAAATGGATCTTGAGAGGATCCACCTGGATTTTGAACATCTTTCCTGAAGGTCATTCACTAATTAGGGGTTTCTTGCCCCCAACGAGATACTCATTGTAAATCATCCTACATATCTTGTTCTTCTTGTAGATCATGTAGAACTGGGAATCATTGACGAATTTGATCTCCTTTATATCTCCATACTTTTGTTTGTTCAAATCAATCGGCTTTGCTTGAAGATCAGCATTTCTATGAATAAATCTGAGAGGTTCTTTTCTATCCTCCCTCTTTGGATGCGGATCTGACAGCAGCTGGGTTGGACACTGGCCAAAGTTATATAGACGGATTATTATGGAGTCTTTCGTAGCTATATTTTCAGGATCTGTCATGTCAACCCCTCCTTCATATGAAAGAGCAGGGAAAGTATTTCATGCTTCTTCTGCTTCTTTTCCCAATTGTTTATAGCCGAATACCAAATCAAACCATTGATGTATGCTGTCAGAGACCAGGGACGATTCGAAGATTTCTTTAAATTTGCAGGTAAACTGGTATGGGTCATCTTTTGCCCACTCAGGCAAAAAGACTTGGTCTACTTTCTGGCCATCTTGGGTTTCTCCAAAATTAATTTTCAAGTGATTTTTGTACATTTCTGGTAGAAATATTGTTTCAGGAATCAGTTCCCGTACATCAAGAGACTCATTTAATGCGAGATGGTATGAAAATGCGATATCTGAGAACATCCTGTCTGCTCAGTCAAGCTTGCCACTTTGGAATTTAATCAGCCCATCTCAAAAGGGAGGAATTCTGACTAAATATTGCAGAATGATTCCTGGGTTGGAATGGTAACTCCCACTATGATATTTCTGGTCAAATCAATCTTCCTCGTATCTCTCAACAGCTTGTTCAAGTCTTTTGTTGCAACCAAGCTTGATGAGGTTCTTCTCAAAATCTCTGACAATTACTTCATCGAGGTTTTTGCCTGTCAATAATTTCTCATCAATGAACCAAGGGATTATTGGATACTGGGAAAGATCATTATAACTTCGAGAAGAGAGGTAGTTAAGTAACATTAGATAGAAGCTTGTTGAAATTTCTCCTCTTTGCCACCACTCCGTCGCCTTGCTCTTCTTAAGCCCTTGAAGGAAGGTTTTTGTCGCTGGATTAGTCTCAGTTAAATGCTTTAGGAATTTATTGCATTCCTCTTTGGACTTGAAATTGAGAGTCAAACTTTCTCAATTTGTGAAAATCAAATCAACTCAAGTATGCTCGAACAGGAACTTTCTGTTGAATGCGTACTGGATATCACATATTAGGTATGTCGAATAAAGCATCTTGTACGGCTTCTTCTTGTAAGTGAAAAAGTCCAACATCTGGTTCCCATATGTATCCGAGCAGGAGAGATCTGATGAGTAGACTGAGTCAATGAAAACTAATTTTCTTTTGGTAGTCAGAATTTTCCCCGCTTTTGAATACATTGGTGTCAGCTGGGTACATTTATACTCTAAATATTAGTCTTAAATTTACCTCCAAGGATGTTATCTTTCTCGTTGCGAGTAAATATGAACTTTTCTAGGAATGAAATGTATCAGGAGTCAAGAAGCTTCATTTCTTCTAGAGAAATTTTCCTACTGAAAAATCTATCTTTCAAGTTAATGTAGATTTTATCTTCAAAAACATCGTCTCATTTGAGTAATCGCCAGTTATCTCCAGGATATTTTATATTTGGCCTTTTGAGGATACTCTCAGCTTGGGTGTCATTATAATAACATAATCCTTGGGAAGGATAATTTTTCAAAATTGGCTTAGTCAAATTCTTTGTGATAAAATTAAATGCTTTTAGAGGTACTTCCTCAGGATTATCGTCAAACAGTTGCTTGTTTCTCCAAACCCCATTCCAAAGGAACAAGCTGTTATAGATTTTCCTTAGATGTCTTTTCATCATCCTCTGTCTGCTATCGATCCAGAGGAGGGTTTCTTTCTTAATGTTATCCTCTTCCACCTTGACACGGTCGTGCTTGTCAGAGATATCAATAGAGATCTCTTGGTACTTCTTCTTTTCCTGATAATCCCAGGTTCGTTGATCATTTCTGATCTTTTTAGCATACGAGTACCTCTCTTTTGATACAATTTCACAGTAATTCTCTTTGCAGAACTCCCTTTTAATTGCTCTGAATCGTTCAGATTCATCGAAGAAGTCACTAAACTGGTCACTGCAAAGAATTTGGGAAATGCCTTGGTAATCCTTGGCTTGGTAATTCTCAAGATCTTTCCTGATGAATAAGAGGGTCTTGTCTGTTTTCTCAAAGTAACCATTCAGCAGCCTTGTCACAAGCCTTGCGCTTGGTGCTTTCGGGTCAGCATGCTCATGGTCTTTAGCGTATTTCTTGAGGGCAATTACGAATATAATAGTAGTTATGTTATCCAAAGCATTTCATAAGTATTCTTGGTGCGGATTGTTACTTCTAATTTCTCTATGTAAGAAATACATTACAAATGCAACCACTTTGGTGAGTTTCGACTGGACTTCATTGTTGTCATCTGACTTTTTGGATGACCAACACTCGCTGATGAAGATTCATCACTCAGTAATGTCTCAAAGCATCTTGAGGTAATATATGATGTAGTTCTTGTCCTGCTCAAGTGTTATTCTAAGGCAGATTAAGTTAACTACAGTTTTGATGAACGAGAAATTATGCCTCTCCTTCTTCTTGAATTCTTCTGAGTAAACCTTTTTGGACAAGAGAATCTGAAGCCTCTCGTTGGCATCTCGAGAAGATATCTCATCCAAAGTGTCTAAGACTTGATCCTCGATCTGATTGTAGCCCAAGCTAGGGTTAAGAGAGATACTTACTTTTTGAAATTGGATGCAATAGCTGATTTGTAGACTTTGGATGACCTTCTTTTGATCTTTATTAACCAAATTGGCTCAATTATTTCAAACATCAGGTTGAGAAGTTGTGAATCATGCCAGGTGTTCTTCACTGAAGAAATGAAGAGGTAGTTCTTAGTGTTTGCATAAATTGATTGTTCTTCTTTCATCTCGGGAAGACTAAAACTAAAATCTTGCTTTCCATCTCTATTTTTTGAGGTCTTTATAGGTGTGTTAGCATCGTCAGAGAATATATGTCTGAGATATTCAAATGAGAGAACTAACTCTTCAATTTGGAAGACAATTTGGGTGGTGTTCTTCCAAAATTTACTGAATGGATTTTCATGGCTAAAACTAGGATTCCATTTGTCTCGATCTTTACTTGACGAGATGGTGTCAAAGAAGCCTCATAAGATAGTTCTGACCATTCTTTCTCGCTTTTTGATGTCACTGCCAATCTTCTCTTTTGTGCTCCTAGATTTCAGGTACTTGCTAATGGGCCAGATAATCAATTGGTGGATGTTTGAATGGGAGGAAGAGTCATTATTCAAGCACATTTTTGCCATCTGGATGTATAGTTTACAACCCATGTCCCATATGGGGTCAAGGTCCTTTACTTTCTTGGATGGAAACACTGTGAATATAAGCTCTATTATCCATTCAGGGAATGTACGCTCTGTCATTATTATATTGGCATTCTTTGCAACAACAGTCATAAAGTTTAGGTCAGATATCACCTTCTGTTTCATTAATTTAGTCGATTTGGCAGCTAGGTTAAGGCAAAGGGGAAGAACTGAGTTATACTTTATAGGTCTGGATGTGTCTCATTCATCTCTTGATGAGAAAATCCACGATAAAAATACTTGGTAAAGATCTCCAAGCTCTTCAATGATGAAATCCTCTTCTGCATGTACTTCCTGGTTTGCTCCAGAATTATTTCCTTCACTTGATAGAGAGGATGTTAATGGAATATTAGTCGACTCTTTAATCATTGCCACGCTTGGAGTAAGTCCTGGAACTGAATCGCGCTTTGGGGATGAACTTTTCCCTGACTTTCTGTGTGGATTTACTTCGATCCTATTATCATCAGAAATAACAGGGGATTCTTTGACTTCTCGTTTCTCTTCAAGCTTCTTGAGATATCTTCCAAGTGGGTCTTCTTCGTCTGCGCCTCTTAAGGATTCCTCAGAATTTTTAGTCTCTTCTTCAATCTTCTCTTTCGAAGACTGGTACTTAGAGCTTCTTGATTGAGTAAACATTATGTATTCTTCAGAGTTATCCTCGCTGAAGTTGGGGTCAGTGAACTTCTGCTGCACTAAGAGTTATTAAAAATACTTACAGTTTTCATGAGAGATCTTTGAATCAGTTCTATGGGGGAAACCCTTGAACTTGACCTTGGAAGAGCTCTCATATTTCATCTCTTCATGCTCTTGGAGAACTTGAGAAGGTTCAAGGGCAGACCCATACTTTTTAGCTCGATATAGACTACTTTGGCTCCTCATCTGTTCAGTGTGGTCGAGAATATTTCCATACTGGTTCTTCTTAAACACTGGAGTGTGGTAGGCAGTCATGTCTTCCAAGCTGACATCTATATCTCTCTGGTCAGGAGGACACAAAGAGTAATTCATAAAGGAGAATATTTTCTCCTTGATTGACTGGTCTAGGTCTAAGCACTTTATAATCTCAGCACAGTATGTCTGCACATCATAATATGACTCGTTGAAAACCTTGAGGATCAAGAAATAATGCTTGCTCTTCTTGAGGTGAACTTTGAAGGTATGGCAGTTCTGCTCCTGTTCTGAAACCAAATCCTTGATGACCTTCAGTACCTCTATTCTATAGCACGGCGTTTGCTTGTAAGTGATGATTGACACAAGGTCTGTGATTCCAGATGTTACAGAGGTTTCTTTCGCTCCTTTGGCTCAATCACTGAGAATGTTCCGAATAATCTCCAAGATTGGCCGAATGTACTCAGAAAGGTTGTTAACTGGGAGGTATTTGGATGACTTCCTTGCGGATCGAGGGTCCTTGATCCTCTCATGTTTCTCACATCAGTGGCCTCTTTTGGTCGCCACAAGATGTTTAACGATCTGAAGTAGTCTTTTAATGTCTATAAATTTGAGGTATACTTTGTAATCTTGTGAGTAAATACTGTTAACATAATCCCAGAAGAAATGCTGGATTTCAAAATCAAGATTTATCCAAATATCAGTCGTATACATCATGTGATTGAAGAAAGAGAAATCCTTCTTCAAGTTAAACCTGATGTCAATCAGGGATTGGATTGTGTCCTTCGTGAAGAAGGTAAGAGGTATTGAGTAGAATAATAGAAAAAATCCGCTACTAAAGCCTTCTAGATGAAACTCCTTGATGTTATCCTCTGTTAGTAGGTGGGTGAATGTTTCTATGATGCTCAGAAATTTACTAAATGTTTTTCTTCCAAGCTCTACATCCTCTATTCTTTGAAACAACGGCATGATTGGAAGAAGAGCTTTGACATCTCCACAAAAGAGGAGCTGGTTTTTCTGATTGTCTTGACAAAAAACTCCTGCGTGTGAGCTTAATTTAGCTTTACGATGGTAATTTCAGAATTCTACAAAGATTTCTCCTTTAGTATTTTTGTAAGCTCTAGAGGGAATGTAGAGGCCAAAAATCTTCTCCTTTAACTTGTCATCTTTAAACTGACTAACTTCCTCAAAATCTTTCATGAGTTTATCAGCTTGGACTGATTTTGGATATCTGCTACAAATCTCTATTGCAGTATCTAGTTCGACACAGTCACTGCAGATAAGTATTGATGAGACTTGGCCGGTCATCTTTCTGCATAGAAATCCCTTGTCGAGTCTTCCAGAGTCAATATTTTTAGGATACTCTATACTTCTGGTTGTTTTAATATGTTGTCCGTTTACTAGTATTTTAAGATTCTTCTTCTTGTGACATATGAACAAACTGTACCAAGTTCTCGGCTCGAACTCAAATACTTCCACACAGTTGTTATCATCGGGTCCTGACTGATAGCTCTTGCCGCTCATAGTTTTATAATAAAGAACATTGCCTTCAAAGTAGGCTTCGAAGCCGCCAGAGCCAGCTCAAAAGATCGTAAAGAGAGAGGGGTAGTCTTCGAAGGAGGTCCCATTTAGCTCCTCGATTCGGAACCAAAATCCTATGGTAATCCCATTCTTGAATGATTTATCAATGGTCAAGCTGGAACTGATTTCAATGTAGCTGTCTATATCTGAGAAGTAAAACATTGGAATATGATCTTTGTCTATATCGCTATCATGTTTTCTATAAGTTCCACTGCTCCTAGAAGATCATCAGGGTCTTTAGAGGTGATGTAGCCATATACAGACTCAAAGTGAGACTTTGAGAACCGGCCTCCAATCGTAACTGCACGTATAAGTTTGAGCAATGCTCATCTTGTGTCAGGGTCTTCTTTCGAATAATCTGAGAAATAAGCTCCTAGTAATAATTTTACCAAATCAATGGGATATTTATCGTAGTTCATCGGGTTGTTAATAATGATGTTGTTGTGCAGGCACAGCCTGAATTTGTCCAAGATGTTGTTAATATTTTCCACCCTTTCGACGCTACTCACTTTGCCAAACTGCTTAATAATGTTTTTGAACGCAATCGGATTTGTAATGATGTTATTTAATGTTGTACTCAGGAGGATCTCTGTACGGAATAAGCACTAGTTCAGGTAGCAAATCTGAGAGCGAGGTGTTATCACCCATCTCACTGAGCACAAAAGAGTCTCGCTTGTGTAATCTCTGGCTATCTCACGGACTTTTTGATTCTTCAAAATCGCTAAGCCTTTCCATTTTTGATCGAAATAAATAATTTTCTATAAGAGTTCATGTTAAGGGGTTTTGGGGTTTTGGGGTTTTGGGGTTTTGGGG